GGAATCTGCGTGCCAGCCTCCCATTCCTCCTCCTCTCAGCTCCTAATCAGACTCACTTACAAACATTTTCAGAGCCCACAATAGGTTTCTAGTTTTGGGATTAATTCTGTCCCTAACTCTCTTTCGCACAGACATGATCCAGCAAGTTCTAATTATGCAAGCAGAAACCTTGCCAGACCATCTAACATGATCTCCTGGGGCAGTTTGCAGAGCCTGAACATCTTTGCAGAGAACTTTTTGGCTACTTTCTTGGTAAGTCTGTAATTCTCAACATGGGAATACTAGTTTGTGCCCATATTGCCTTCTGCTTCTATTGTTTTAAGCTCTTTGGACACATATTTGAAGAATTGGGCAGCATTTAGTCTGAATAATCGTAACACTGATGACTAAAGTTTCGTGAGTTCTCCTTGTCAATTCTCTGCCTCCAAGACCTGAACCATACCTCATATTGACTTTGCAGAACTTCAAATAGAATGGTCTACACATGACTCAGAATTATTATTACTTTTATTAAGTGTAATAGATTTACAATGTTGTGTTAGTCTTTGGTAATACAGCATGGTGATTCAGTTATATGCAAACACAGTATATGTATTTATTTAGTGTCTTCAAATTCCAAACTCCCAATTTATCCCTCCCTACTCTCTTTCCCCCTGGTAACCATAAGTTTGTTTTCTATGTCTGAGTCTTTTTCTGTTTTATAGATCAGTTCATTTGTCATTTTTTAGATTCCATATATAAGTGATATCATATGATATTTGTGTTTCTCTGTCTGACTTACATAGTATAATTTCTATGCCTTGTTGAATTAGAGTTTCCTTTGGATATATGCCCAGGATTGCTATACCATACGGTAAGTCTATTTTTAGTTTTTAAGGAATCCCCATACTGTTTTTCAAAACTATTATTTTTTCTTTCTCTAGTATAATGCTCCTCATGAATTATTCTACTCCTTGTTTTAAGTAGCCTCTATACATGGTTCCAGTGTGTCTTGTTCAGTTACGTCATTGCCCTCTACATCTGGTCTTGACTGATGTCATGAGGTAAGAGACTTCAGAACGATCATGCCTGTGAAGGGGATCATAATATGCTGCCTCAAAATGTGCCACTTTAGCATGAGGATTATTTTGAGCTGAAGGAAATTAGGAAATGACAGATGGAGGAGACACTCTCTGCTCTCTTCCTATCTGTGTAAAACCTGGACATAAATTTCCCTTTGTGAAGGTGTCCCCTCTCTTGTACCAGAAATAATCATTATCACTGGATGTGAACATGAACTGAAATGAGTCTGCATAAACACTTTACTCAATAACCCTTATCTTCCACTAGTCTCTACCATACATTTACCTCCCCACAATTTACTGCCTCTAGACGCCCAAAACCCTTTTCTTTGTTTAGTTATCTCTCTATAGTTTAATCGCTCTTCGTGAAAAATTGTATATAAGCCCCTGGGTCTAACTGCTTTTTGAGATCTTTACTTCTTTTTCATGAAGATCTCTATGTACATGTGAAATTAACATAACAAATTTGCACACCTTGTCTCTTGTTAAGCTCGTTTTTCATTCAGTTGGTGTTTCACTGACCAACATGTAACAGGTTTGAGGAAAAGTTGCTTTCTCCCCAACACCTGCTATATGCCATCTTCCGTGAGCAACTTCAATATCTTAAGAAATTTTGAGTTCGTGGAAGACATATTGAAATTGATTTTCAGCCTGCAACTTAATGTGAGGGAGATCTCATGTTCTCTTTTCCTTAGCACTAATCGTGACTCACTCCAGATTTGGTTCACCATAATTGACTGTTACCCCCACTCTTCTTTTGGATCATAAAACTACTCCTTGTCTCATAGTTTGCAGATTCTCTAACTGCAACTTTCATCCTTTAGTAAAAAAATTTTTTAAAAATTAAAGTATATTTGGTTACAATGTGTCAATTTCTGTCCCAGTGATGCATATACATATATTTATTTTCATATTCTTTTTCATTACAAGTTATTGTAAGATATTGAATATAGTTCCCTGTGCTATACAGAAGAAATTTATAAAAAATCTATTTTTATATATAGTGGCTAACATTTACAAATCTTGAACTCCCAGATTTATCCCTTCCTACCTCCTTTCCCTGGTAACCATAAGACTGTTAACTATGTGAGTCTGTTTCTGTTTTGTAGATGAGTTGTGTCCATTTTTTCTTTTCTTCTTTTAGATTCCACATATAAGTGATGTCATATGGTATTTTTCTTTCTCTTTCTGGCTTAATTCACTTAGAATGACAATCTCTAAGTCCAGTCATGTTGCTGCAAATGGCATTATCTTACCCTTTTTAAGGCTGAGTAGTATCCCATTGTATAAATATACCACAACTTCTTTATCCAGTCATCTGTTGATGGACATTTAGGTTGTTTCCATGTCTTGGCTATTGTAAATAGTGCTGCTATGAACATTGGGGTGCATGTGTCTTGTTGAATTTGACTTCCCTCTGACTATATGCCCAGAACTGGGATTGCTGGATCATATGGTAAGTGTATTTTTAGTCTTTTGAGGAATTTCCATACTGTTTTCCACAATGACTGCACCAAACTACATTCCCACCAGCAGTATAGGAGGGTTCCCTTTTCTCCCCATCCTCTCCAGCATTTATCATTTGTGGACTTTTGAATGATGGCCATTCTAAGTGGTGTGAGGTGATACCTCATTGTAGTTTTGATTTGAGTTTCTCCGATAATTAGAGATATTGTGCATTTTTTCATATGTGTATTGGCCATTAGAATAAAATGATGCCATTTGCAGCAACATGGATGGACCTGGAGATTATCATTCTAAGTGAAGTAGCCAGAAAGAAAAATACTATATGATATCACTCATATGTGGAATCTAAAGAAAAAAAAGGACACTATGAACTCATCTACAAACAGAAACAGACTCTCAGACTTAGTAAACAATCTTACCAGGGAACGGGGGTAGGAGGGGGTAAATTTGGGAGTTTGAGATTTACAAATGTTAGCCACTATATATAAAAATAGATTAACAAAGTTTCTTTTGTATAGCTCAGGGAACTATGTTCAATATCTTGTAATAACCTTTAATGGAAAAATGAAAATGAATGTATGTAATGCATGCCTGGGACATTGTGATGTACACCAGAGATCGACACAGTGTAACTGACTGTACTTCAATAAAAAAATAATAGAGAATACCCTTCTATCTCCAATGATAACATCTCCATAACCATCACATAGTTATCAAAACAGAATTACTAAATTTTAAAAATATATCTTTCTATCAAAAACATAACACAAAGCATTGTTCAAGCATATTTTTCAACACTACATACCATATTAAACTAATATCATTTGGTAACATTTTTATTATACTGCATTAGTTTGTTTTAATCAAACTGTATTTGATTGTGGATAGATAAATGTAACACTAGGTTTTTGTTTTTCTTGTTTTACTGTTGTACAATATACCACTGTTTTCTCTAAAAGTAGAGTTGACTAAGTTTACTCTAAAAGTGAGATTACCTGGATGAAAGAGTATGTACCCTTTCAGCATTTCAAAATGGCTCTCAAGTGGCTGTACAAAATTGTAATTCCCACCAGTATTGTATGAGAGTTCTGACTTCTAGACATTATCAAAACTTGGCAACTTATTTTTAAGTTTATGGGTGAAAAATAGCATCTCATGTTTGATTTGGAATTGTCTTGATGATTGATCAAGTTGAATACATTTTTAAAATAATTTTGTTTCCTTTTCTGGTAATTGCCTCCTGTCCTAATTTTTCCCATATTTCAATTAGTCTTTTTAGTGGTACATTATAAACTGTCATTGCAACCCTTTGTTGCTTTTTAGGAAATACAAATACCTTCTGTGAACGTTTGTTTTGCCTTTTAAATTTCTTTATATCTTCTGCTGCAAAAAGTTTTCCACTTCACTGAGGTAAAACATACCAAACTTAAACACTTTCTGATGTGTTTTATGTCTAATTTTTGAATACGTTCCTATCCGGAGTTCATAAATATATTCTATATTTTCTTTGAAATAAAAAAAATCATTTACATCTTTAATGTACTTGAAACTTACTTTTGCATACAGTACGAGCTAGAGATAGAATTTTATTTCTTGCATGTAAATTATGCTAGCATAATTTATGAAATTCAGTTGTTTTTCAACTGATAAAATGCCAACTTGGTCTAACATATAAAAATTTATAAGATGTATGTATGGATCTGGTTCTAAGCATTCTGTTCTGTTTTGTTTATCCCTATGGTAATATCACATTGTTTTAATTATTTTAACTTTTGAATAAGTGAAGATTCTTTTCAAGGAAAGACTACAAATTTATATTTCTTCAAAATTGCCTGAGTCTTTGTTAGAAAATTTGCTCTTCCATGCTCATTTAGGATCAGCATGTAAAGTTGCATGGAAAAAAGTCATTTTGGTATTTTGGGGCAAATTTCCACAGCTATAGAAATCATATTTTCCCATCATGACAATGCCATTTTTCTCCCTTCACTTAAGGTCTTTTATATGCACTAATATTTTGTAATTTCCTCAGTTAAGGTCTTGTGCATCCTTTGTTTTTGCTAGTTAAAGAGTAGCTTTGCTTGATTACATGTCTTAACTGGTTATTGAATGTAGGGAAACCATTTAATCTTATTTTAAGCTAAATTGTTTTTCAAAAAAATTCTATGCTCTGATTGGCTAAAACAAAATATCTGAATGAATCCTACAGACTAAGGCTATTATGTAAAACTGAAACATATACTAGTCATAATGCAAAAATATGTAGATGCACCATTTCTGATTTTGTCTGGAACAATCTTTATTTCCCTTCATTTTGTATAGCTGTTTGGTCAGTTATAATATTACATGTTTCCTTAGCAGTGTGAAGATAGTACTAATGTTGCTGATAAGAAATCTGATTAAATTCCATCATTCTTTCTCTAGGTGATCTATTCCCTCTGGTAGCATTTTAAGGCTCCCCCCCCCTTTTTTTTTATAAATCTCTGAAATTTTACTTTGATGGCTGACTTAACTTCATTCTTTCCAGCACTCAGAATGCATTTTCTTTCCTCATTTCTAGTAAAGTTCATCATTGTCTCTTTGAATGTTACTTTTCTGTCCTTCCCTCTCTTCCCATGTTAGTTACCCTCTACTAGCTATAGTGTTGCTGAACCTACCAACTTACCTTCCAAGTTTTACAACTGTTCTCATGATTTTTCAGTTATCTGTTTCTCCACTTTACATATTAATTCCTCATTAATTAGCATTCTATTTGTTCATGCTCACTTTGACTAGTCTAATATAAAGTTTATTATATAAATTGGGATTTCTTTTAAATTTTTATTATAATGACTATTTTTCATTTTCAAGATTTTGTTTTCAATTATTTTTACTTACATAATTACAGCCTATTTGATTTAACCATTTCATGTATTTTGTAGGCATGTATTCTTTTTCCTCTGATAAACTCCCCACAAAAGTTGTAATATTCATTTAATGATTTTTTTAACCTCTCTTACAGCATTCATTTCATTTAGTTGGCTGCTTCAGTTGCCTTCACTTGGCCTCTGGGCTTTAAACTGCATCCCTGTATTTTATAATTCACTTGAGTTTTTGCTCCACAGGGCATATGCGAACTTGGAGAGCTATCAACCTGCAAAAGACTAATGTCAGGATTGGTCACAAGGTTGGTTCTGTAGTCTCTAAGCCTCAAGGGTAATAACTATATGCAGGACATTGGCCCATGAAGCAGATGGCCCAGCTTTGCTTCCCTGTGGCGCAGCCTCACCCCCGACCCTGGTTTAAGCAAGCTTTGTACCTGCTTCCTGTCCCTCTATTCTAAGGGGCTCAGAAGTCCAATGCTTCAGTTATTCTCACTGCTATGTAGTTCTGTTGATTATTCAAGAAAAAAACTTACCCTGTTTCTTAAAACTAGCAAACTTTATTTTTTAAAATAATTTTATCACTCGCCTCTGCCACAGGACTTATTAGTTCTTCATATATAAAAAGTGAACCATGCCATTTTCCTCTTTCCATACTTTGAGTTCCCAGAGGCTAAAAAACAGACCTTTTTCATCTTTATTCGCCCATATCTAATAATCTCTGGCATTTTGTAAGCACGTAATGCACTTTTAATTGTATTTGGTGGCTCTTTCAACCTCAGAGCAAAAAACTCATTCTACATAAGTTGGAAAGATAAAACAGAGCGCTTCCATCCTATCCTTTCTCCACAGTCATGCATGTATATAAAACATCTAAACCTGATTTGTGAAAGTATTTAGACCTCTCTGATAACTTTAAATACTTAATGACATGTCTATGACTTTGTTCTGTGGTAACTGGTAAAAGATGTAACAAAACGAAATGTGTTATTCCAGATTTATGAAAATAGAACAACAAAGGATTTCTGGATTAAGAAGAGCCTGAGTTCATCTCCTCCCACAGACACACCAGAACTACAACTACACGTGGAACAAGTGTTTCTGAGAACGACCTGAACACTAACCGAATGGAGGACATAAAGGTAAGGCCACATCAAGGAGCAGGAGAAGTATGGTCCAGTCAGAACCCACAAAACCACTGTGGTGACTCACAGAAGGAGGCATATCACAACTTCGGAGGCCCCCGCCCCTGAGGAGCAAGGGCTCCCCAGCCCAGGGGCCCTGCACCAGAACACTTGCTTTAAAAATAAGTAAGACTTAGGTCCAAGAGGACTGGAGAGCTGTAGGAAACAAATTCTGCTTTGGAGCATTTGTGCACTAACTCACTGGCTCCAAGTCCCATTGTAGAAGCAGCAGCTTAAAAAGCACCTGGGTCATTCAAGAAGGAGATTCACTGACTAAACTCTCCTTCTAGCCAGCTGGTCTGGTGCCAGCAGGCACCACTCCTGTCATTCTCCATCACCCAGCTAATACCAGGTACCGTGTCCCCAGGGACCAACCCTACCCACTCACCTTGGCCAGTCCATCAAGAGTTGCTCTCTCCCTGCCCAACCTGGCAAGCAGCCTTGGCTGACACTGGTGTCCCTCCAAAGCAGCTCCTATTTTGGGGAGTCAACCCCACCCTTCAGTGTACCAGGCAGCAATTGCAGCCTAACCACAAAAAGACAGCACACACCCCTGCAGCACCGAGCTCTGGTGGCCTTGGGGGAGTGTGCCTCTGGGCCCAATAGAATACCTTCTATGTAAGATTACTCTTTAAAGACTGGGAGATGTAGCTTGATGTACTTAATATATACAAACAAACACAAAGTTGGGCACAGTGAGGAGTACAAAGGAATACATTTCAAATAAAATAATAAGAGAAAACCTCAGAAAAGAAACTAAACAGATAAGCAATTTACCTGATAAAAAGCTGAAAGTTACCTGATAAAAAGCTGAAAGAGGCATAAATAAGCTCACCAAACTCTAGAGAAGAATGGATGAACCTGGTGAGCATTTCAACGAATGACAGGATACAATAACTGAAATAAGAAAAATACACTAAAATAGATTAGAGGATGTAAAATGGATCAGTGATCTTCAAGACAGGCTAGTGGAAATCATCCAATCAGAACAGCAAAAGTAAAAAATTACTTTAAAAAATGAGGGCAGTTTAAGAGACCTCTGAGTCAAGCGTACTAAGATTTGTATTAGAGGGGGTCCCAGAAGAAGACAAGAGAGTAAGGGATAGAAAACAGACATCCCAGTCCAGGAAGCACAGAGTCCCAAAGAAGGGGAACCAAAGAGCCCCACACCAAGATGTGTTATAATTTAAATTTTGACATTTTCTTCCTTGCCGATTTTAAGATTCTTAAAAAGTTACATACAAGAAAACCCACAAAAACTAGCCAATGTCTTTGCAGTCGAAACTTTACAGGCCAGAAGGGACTGGCCTGATACA